TCAGCTGCGGGGTGTGATGAAAACTCCCCAACAGGAGATGGAGTTTCAGAAACACAGTCACCCCCCGCCCCAGCCCCAATGCGGGTTTCCCCAAGTGCTGGTCCAAGTGGGGGTCCAGGATGGTCCCGAGTGCGTTCTCCAACCTGTGTCATCAAGGCAGGGTGGGACAGGGGTCAGGCGCTGACCTGGCACGCAGCCGACCAGGGTTTTATCTGCTGGCACCACATAGGGTCCCCTGGGTACCACCAGGAGTGACGCCTGAGCACAGAGTCAGGAAGAAGCCCTGAGCACTTCCAGATGTGCCCACCTCCCCCCCCAAAAAAGTAATAAACAATAATAAAAATCACAGCAGGCAGTCACAGAAAGTTGTGTCATCAGCTTCTCCGCTCGACATGGCACCGAGGGGCTGGAGTGATAGCACAGTGGAGAGGGCATTTGCCTTGCATGCGGCCAACCCTCGTTCAATTCCCAGCATCCCACAGAATCCCCCGAGCACCGCCAGGAGTAATTCCTGAGTGCATGAGCCAGGAGGAACCCCTGTGCATCGCCGAGTGTGACCCTAAAAGAAAAAAAATGGCACCGAGACTAGCTCATTTCTGCCACCATCCCCATCTGCGGAATGGGAGACGGAGGTGCAGATAGTCCAGAGGGACATGCCAAGACACATGGCCCAGAGGGGCACCCACAATGTGCCCCTTTGCCGAAGCACATGGGATCTTTCCAACATGCCCAGCGTATTTAGAGATGCCCGGATGTACCAGTACATCCTCGAGAACTCAGCCTAAACCCTCCAGTGTGCACTCTGGACACTTCTGGGCTCTCGCAGGGACCATGGACTGTGCCTCTTGTTTCTGGCACTACAAAGCTCCGAACCAGCCTCATGCATTCGAGGTTGCCTCTTAATCCCTCTGACCCGCAGTGGCTACCATCACGTGGCTGGCCCACGGGTCTAATCTCATCCTGCTGCTGACCTAGACTTAGTGGGGCCCATTGGCCAGCTCCCCAGAACTGACATCAACTCTCTGACCATGTTGCTGAACTGCCATCTTATTTTTTTTTAAATATTTTTTGTTTGCTTTTTGGGTCACACACGGCGATGCACAGGGTTTACTCATTGCTCTGCACTCAGGAATTGCTCCTGGTGGTGCTGGGGGAACCCTATGGGATGCTGGGAATAATCCAATCCAGGTCGGCCGCGTGCCAGGCAAACGCCCTTCCCGCTGAGCCATTGCTCCAGCCCCTGAACTGCCATCTAGGGGTGGCGAGGTTGGGGGCACAGACGGATGTGGACCGTATTTATTTATTCTGTAAGATGACATCCTGTTGCTTTTGAACTTCCATGTCAAACGCATCTCTCTCCAAATCAGACGGTGAGCGAGTCTTAACCAGAACCACGTCGAATATCTGTCCGGGACATCTTGTTCCAATGCCACCCCTCTGCCCTGGAAGTGACATCATCAGGGACAAGAATATTCAGGTCCCCTGAGGTCCTATCTTTGCTCCATCCCAGGGCAGAATTCTGGGAGAAGGTGGGGGTTCCAAGAAGGAGCCTTCTTTCTGCCACCGACCCAAAGCCTCACTAAAAAAGCATGCAGTCACCCCCTCATCGAGGCTGCCTGGGTCCCCCCAGGACGCTCATGTGGGTGGGGGGCAAGAGGCGGAAACGAGCAGAAGCCCCAGGGGCGGCGGCTGGAAGAGAAGTCGCCTTACTTCATGCTTGGCGCTGCAAGTCACAGAAATTATAAGCGGAATGATCAGTCAGGACAGGCTATCAGGGCACGCGGGGCGCAGTTCTGAGCTGATCAACTGCTTGCAGGGGGTGCAGGAGACTGTCTTTGTATATCTGGGGCTTCAGAGACACCCACAAGATCCCCGCCATCCCTTCTTCTTGCCTGAGTGAGCGTTCAGCCGTCAGCCCCTCTCACGCGGCAGAAATATTAGCGCACCCGGGAACAGAGAAGGGGGAACAACGGGGCCTGAGTGACGGCTCAGCTGGGGGGAATCTCTCAGCCTGTCATTTACTCGGGGGGGGGGGGGGTGGAGGGGTCACATCAGGAATGCTCAGGGCTCACTCCGGGCTCTGTGCTCAGGGGTCCTTCCTGCTGGGAATCCTTTGCAGTGCCAGGGATGGAAACTGGACTGGCAGTGATTTCACTGTCTCTCTGCTTCTCCTCTTCTTTCCATGTGTTTTTCCGTGTTTGAGCACGCGTTGAACCAGATCGTGCCCCCTGTGGGGTGCTCTGGGCATTCTGCTTAGAAGGGGAAGGAAAGTATAGGTCACTCACCCCCACCAACTGGTCTCTGTGGTGCCATGTTAGTGTCTCTAAGGCCCGGGACGATCCCAGGCGTGTCCCCAAGAGGACCCCCGCGCAGCAGGCGCCTGGCCTTGGGACGGAGTGGGCAGGCACACGCAGCTCAGAAGCCTGTCATTAAAATCTGCTTCCAGTCCCTGCGTCTGTGGCATTCCCTCCCCATCCTGCCCTTCTGATAAACTTACCTCGGCTCTTGGCAGGGCTGCGGTATCTCGTTGGCATGGAGCGTTGCACATTTGCATTTCCTTTCTCTCAAGCCTCTTCCTAACGAAACCACTTCTTCCTGTATGGAAAGGATTTCCAGATCGGAACCGTTCCCAGGAGAGAGAAGATGTGGCGTTGGCGCTCTCTCTCTCTCTCTCTCTTTCTCTCTCTCTCTCTCTCTCTCTCTCTCCTCTCTCTCTCTCTCTCTCTCTCATCCCCTAAACTTACTCTTATTTTTGGCTTTTTGGGTCACACCCGGTGATTCACAGGGGTTCCTCCTGGCTCTGCACTCAGAAATTACTCCTGGCAGTGCTCAGGGGACCATATGGGATGCTGGGAATTGAACCCGGGTTGGCAGCGTGCAAGGCAAACACCCTCCCCGCTGTGCTATCGCTCCAGCCCCTCCAAACTTACTTTTCTTGTTTTTCCTTTTTGGGTCACACCCGGTGATGCTCAGGGGTTACTCCTCACTTTGCACTCAGGAATCACTCCTGGCGGTGCTCAGGGGACCATATGGGATGCTGGGGATCGAACCCGAACCTGGGTCGGCCTCATGCAAGGCAAACACCCTACCCGCTGTGCTATTGTTCCAGCCCCCAAACTTACTCTTGATGGCCATAATCCTCCCCACACCCTTCCATTTTCAGAGGCAACTGTTTTTTCCACCTGTCTTCTTTCCTTCCCCCAAATCCCTCCTCCCTCCCTCCTTTCCAACCCTCTCCCTGAACTGCCCACTTCCTGCCCAGTCCTGTAAGTCCCCACCGAGAGATGCCTCCTCCTTTCTGGTGCTCAGGGATCACTCCTGGAGGGGCTCAGCGTGCAGGAAATCCCACCTGGGTCGGCTGCATGCAAGGCCAGCGCCCTCCCTGCCGTGCTATCACTCCGGCCCCTGCTCCTCCTTCCTTTAATGGGGTGCTTACCTGCTAAGTATCCCCCACAAATGGCTGCTCGCTTTCTCTCTGAGGGCACCCTCTCTCTTATCTACATCATGGTGTTTGCCAAGCTGCACAAGGAAGAGAAGGCTTCCAAGGGCAAGACATCTGTCATTGGACTCTTGTCATATACGTTTGCCAAACAGAGCCTACACGTCTCACTCGTCTCTCCACACAGATATTTAGATGACTTTCCTACTCACACAAGACGGAGACTTTTTAAAAAATAATAATAAAAGGAGGGGCTGGAGCGGGTAGGAGGTTTGCCCTGCACGTGGTCAACCCGGGTTCGATTTCTAGCATCCCATAGGATCCCCAGAGCACCGCCAGGTGTAATTCCTGAGTGTAGATCCAGAAGTAACCTCTGAGCATCACGGGGTGTGACCGAAAAAGAAAAAAAAAAGCAAAATAAAATAAAAAAACAAATGAAAGGAAAGATTCCATGTGCATGAGCCCTACTGTGTGCAGTGCGGGGATGCCGCAGTCTTTCTGGTCCTGCTGGGGTACGTGACCCATGAGCCCTACTGTGTGCTGCAGTCTTTCTTCTGGTCCTGCAGGGGCACGTGCCACATGAGCCCTACTGTGTGCTGCAGTCTTTCTGGTCCTGAAAGGGCATGTGACCCATGAGCCCTACTGTGTGCTGCGGTCTTCCTGGTCCTGCAGGGGCACGTGACGCATGAGCCCTACTGTGTGCTGCAGTCTTTCTGGTTCTGCAGGGGTATGTCATCCCGGGGCCTCCTGCTCCCTGAGGGCAACCCCACTCACTTCCTCCAGTTCTGCGCTACCCAGAGGGTCCTGCCAGCCTCAGAGGGGGAAGCAGGAGTGGGAGTCATAACACAGCCGAGAGGGAGCTCTCTCTGCACACGGCAGACCCAGGTTTGATCCCCGGCATCCCATAGGGCCAGGCCTCATTTCTGAGCACAGAACTACTGCCTCCAGGTGTGATCCAAAAAACAGAAGGGGAAACGGGGGCGGCGTGTGTGTGTGTGTGTGTGTGTGTGTGTGTGTGTGTGGAGTGGGAGGGTTCCACTAACTCACCAGGTTAGCCGTGGAGCAAAATTATGTGAAGTCCCCCCCTGAATAGCCCCCAAAACCCCTCCAAGACCCACCCAGTCTACAGTCTAGCAAGTCCCTCCAGGTGGCCCTGAGCCCCCTGCCCTGGAGGGGAGTGTCCAGCAAGTGACCCCTGAATTCTGGAGATCCCAGCTAGCCTTGGGGCAAACATGGGAAGTCCCAACCCTGCACAGCAGCCCCGCAAGACCCTTCCATGCCCCCAGCCTGCAGTCTAGCAAGTCCTTCCAGGTGACCCTGAGCCCCCTGCCCTGGATGGGGGGGTGTCCAGCAAGAGTGACCCCTGAATTCCGGAGTACTCACCAGGGTTAGCCTGGCCAACCAAAAGTCCCACCACCCCTGCACAGCCCCCCAGGACCCTCCCACGCCCCCAGCCTGCAGGCCGGCAGGTCCCCCCAGGTGGGCGCGCGTGACCCGAAACTTTGCGGGGCGGGCGGGCGCGCGCGGGGCGGGAGGCGCCGGGGGGAGGGCGCGGGGCGGGCGCAGCCGCCGACGCGGCGCGGGGCTCGGGAGCTGCGGGCGCGCCCAAGACGCGCGGGCCCGGCCGCCGCCGGCTGCTGGAAGTTGGCGGACATGGGCCGGCTGCTGCGGGCCGGCCTGGCGCTGTGCTGGCTAACAGGTAGGAGCCCGCGGCTGCGCCCGCGACAACTTTCCCTGCGCCCGGGGCGCCGTGGGAGCCGCGCGTCCCCCGGGGCGATGCTGCGAGCCCGCGGACCCCGCGCCGGGCGGCGTGAGCTGGGCTGGGGGGACCCCCTCCTCCAGGGCTGCTGTGCTGGACCCCGGAGGGCCCGCTCCCAGTCCCGGGAGCTGGGGGGATGCAGAGAATCGGGGTGCCGCGGGGATCTCCGGGGTCCCTCCCGCACGGATGGGGATGCGGTGCGCGGAGCCCGGCGCGCGGTGGAGAGGGGGGGTCCCCGCGTTTGGAGGAGAGCCCGTTTGCAGAGACACCGAGAGGCGTGGGGGTCACCCCGCCTGGCCTGGCAGGGCACCCCCCCCCCCGTGTGTCCCCGTTGTGAACTTTGTCCCCCTCCCCCCACCCTGGGGCGGGCAGAGGCACTTGGTCCCTTGCTTTGTGCACTGGGGGGCTGGGGTGGAGGGGGGCGCGTGGCCGCGCTGGTGGGCAGCGGTGGGGGGAGGAACGCTGAGAAGGTTGGGGTGGTCCAGAACCAGACCCCAGGCAGGGATGTGGCAGGAGAGAGTGCACCCCAAAGTGAAGTTGTGTCCGCCCTGGGGACGCCAGCCAGAAGGTCTGGGAGTGGGAAAGGGGGGGGAGGAGAAGTTTAAAATCCCCGCAGGGGGTCTCTGAGCAAGGATCAGACATGGGGGCGCAGGAAGGAGGCTCCCCACTTTCCTCCCCTCTGGAGTAAAGTCATTAATTACCTCTGGATTTTTTTGGGGGGGAGGCCCACCCCAGTGGTACTCAAGGGTTACTCCTGGCTCTGTGCTCCTGGTCATGTGTGGGTGCCAGGACTGGATAAGGATCAGCGAGTGCAAAGCAAATAAACGCCTTAGTCTTGTTCTGTGGGTTTGCAGTGGGGCCCTAACTCCTGGGCCGTGGGCCATGCCGTGGGCCACACTAGGTCCTGCTTGCTCTGACTCACCCCCCCATCCCTCCACATTCTTCCCTAAGAATCAGCGGCAATTTCTGGGGGAGGGCCTGCCTCCCCACCCCCCACTCCCCAGTCTTCCACGCCCTTCCACGCCCACCCTCGAAGCCCCTCACATTCAAGGCCACTAAGCCCCCACCTGGGTCCCCACCTCCTAAAGTCACGGAGCCTCCCCCAAGTCTCTGTTCCCCCACCCCACCGTGAGTGCCCGAGATGAGCTCTCAGAGATCGGCAGGACTGGGGGCCGGGACCATCCATCTAGGTGACCCCCCACTCGGTGGGAATTCGTATGGCCGGAAGGGACCCCCAGAGCGGTGAGCTGCACCCACCCAGAGCCCTGGTGCCTGGGGGACCCACTCCAGGCATCTCTCTGCGTTCTTCAGATGGGTGGGGGGTTGGCTTCAGGTTTCTCTGGGGGAAGGTGGAGCTTGCCAGCAGGATGCAGGTTGGTTCCTGTGACCCCCCCCCCCCCACCTGCCTCCCAGCTGGCCTGCTGCTCTGGGCTAGGGAGGCCAGCGCCTAGGCCCTCGGTCAGCGGTCAGCAGAGCCTCCCAGGCTGCACGCAGGGGACAGTCTCACAATGGCGCTGGGGAGAGTCAGGGAGGCAAGCGGGAGCCAAGAGCCCCATATCTGTCCGTGCATCCATCCATCCATCCATCCATCCATCCATCCATCCATCCATCCGTCTGTCCTTCTGAGCTGAGCACCAGGGAGGGAAGGTAAGAAATTCCAGGCTAGCTCAGTCAATGAATTCTGTCTTGAGTAGGTGGCAGAAAGGGAGGGAGAGAGGAAAGGACCGATTAAAAATGAGTCAGAGAGCTAGGGAAAAAGGCATGCATGTGGGGCGCGCGCGCGCGCGCACACACGTGCACGAGCAAGCTCGCATACAAACGTGCATGAGCGCGCGCACACACACACCACACACACACACACACAACACGGGTTCCCTCTCCTCGCTCTCCCCCTCTCCTCCTCTCCCCCTCTCCTTCCCTCCCCTCGCCTCTCTCCTTTCTTGAAAGCGGAGCAATTTCCAATCAGCACTTCCGGTTCCCTCCTCCCTCCCTCCCCGCCCCCCCCCAGTCCCGGCTGCTAATTCCTGGGCTTTCTAAGCTCAAATTTGGGATTTCTTCCTGCTGTGCATTTAGCCCTGTGATTTCTTATTGTCACCGTCTCAGACCGCTTCCTGGAATAGATTAGGTTTTTTTTTTGTTGTGGTGGTGGTTGATGTTTTTTGCATGAAGCAAAAAAAAAAAAATGTTTTTGCCAGCTGCTATTTGAGCAACAGGTGCCCGGGAACCCTGGAGTTGGAAGGGGGGTTTATGCCACCTTTGAGGGAATGGCAACACTGAGTGATGTGGGGGGTGGGGGGCTCTGGGCTTTGGATGAGCGATGCTGGGGGCCTTCCGAGATGGGCTCTCCGCATGCCTGGCCGTCTGCTTAGCGTGTCTTTGGCGTTCTTTTTGGCGCTCGTTCATCCGTGGGCAGGTGCTGTGTCCCCGTGGTTTCTTGGGATCAGGGTCAGTGCTGAGAATTCAGGGCTTTTTCCTGGTTCATTAAGTGAGTGACTTGACACATTTTCAGGAAAAAAAGGTACTTGGTTGAGCCCCAGGAGATGCTCTAAGAGCCTAGGGCGGAAGGCAGTGGGGGGTAGGAGGGGGTCCCTGGTATAGGATCCTAATTGTTGGCGGGAGGCGCCAGTTCTGAAACCAATTCCCTGCTGACACAGGGCTCAGTTCAGACCTTGACTCCCGCCATGCTCTGGGGAGGACGAGAGCACAGCCAGGCCTCAAACCCCTCAAGGTTAGGTGATCCAGCTTTTTCTCCCCGAAGGAGCCACATGATGCCTGCCACAGCCATGCTACCGGACTCCGTGCCAGGCTGTTTCACTTGGGGCACCCCAGAGGGGGCCGGGTGAGAGCCCTCCCCACCCCAACTTCTAGAACTCACCCGCTGCCACACTCAAGACCCGCTCCCCACACACTCGGGCCGAGCCTCACGTATGAGTGAACATATTCCTGGACCGAGTGGCCACAAATGCGGCTGCGTGACACATCATAAGACAGTTTTCCATAACAAACAATACAAAATATATGATTTCAGTTGTGTTTTGGAACAGGGATTGGGGCTTGGGTTGGAAACATTCCAAATTTGGTGGTGGGAAGGTGTCATGGTGGTAGGATTGGTGTTTAAATATTAACTGTAATCAAATTTTGTGAACTACCTTATAAAAAAAATGGGCTGGAGTGATAGCACAGCAGGTAGGGCATTTGCTTTGCACACGGCCAACCCGTACCAACCCCGGTTTGATTTCTCCACCCCTCTCGGAGAGCCTGGCAAGCTACCGAGAGTATCTCTCCCACGCAGCAAAGCCTGGCAAGCTCCTTGTGAAATATTTGATATGCCAAACACAGTAACAACAAGTCTCACAGTAGAGACGTTACTGGTGCCCACTTGAGCAAATCGATGAACAACGGGAGGACAGTGCTACAGTGCTACCTTATAAAATAAAATTTAATTTAAAAAAAAAAGGTCAGGTGGTAGAGACTCCAGCCCAGGGGAGAGTCACTGTCTGCTCCAGGCTAGCCTGTGGGAAGCCGTAATGTGGGGCCACAGTGGGCAGGGAGGTGGGATAGGACCCCCAGGGGTCCTCCTAAGCAAAAAGCCAGGAATAGCTCCTGAGAACCAAAGGGTGTGACTCAGTGCCCCCCTTCAAGCCCCAGATACAAGAAAGCAGGGGCCACTCAGCCTCTCTGCCAACGGTGATGAGTCCGAGACATCACATCCTGATGCAGAAGAAGATCTCACGAAAGCGATGGAGCCACAGACTGGCACCAGCGCATGAGAACTTCCTGACAGGCAAAGTTTTTTCCTCTCTGCCTGGTTCACCCCAGAGGTCTCCCCCGCCCTCCTCCCCCGCCCAGAAATGATCCAGAAATGATCCAGAAAACTTTCCCAACATGCCTGTGCCCAGCAGGGGAAGAAGCTGGCTTCTCTCGGCCCTGTTTGGAAACCCTTGGGGGTCAGTGCGACAGTCCCCCATGAGCACATTCAGATCTTGGCGAGGCAAATCAGACACAAAGGCGTCTGGCTTCAGGCTTTCATGTGCGTGATGGTAGCTGTGATGGGCCATGGCGGATCTGGACATGCAGAACATGGGCTTGGTGGAGAGGAAAGTGAGGCCTCTGGGCAGCCTGCAGGAGATGGGGAGAGTCACGACCTTGGGGGACACAGAGTGCTGTGAGGGGCGCGGAGAGATAGGTCAGCGGGGAAGGTGCTTGCCTCACATGCGAACAATCCAGGTTGGGTCCCCAACATCCCACCTGGCCCCCAAGCACTGCCAGGAGTAATTTCTGAGTGCAGAGCCAAGAGGAAGCCCTGAGCATCGCCAAGTGTGGGTCCCCAAAACAAAAAACAAAATTTAAAAAGTGCTGCATGGTTATTTTCTTTCTTTCTTTCTTTCTTTCTTTCTTTCTTTCTTTCTTTCTTCCTTTCTTCCTTCTTTCCTCCTTCCTCCCTCCCTCCCTCCCTTCCTTCCTTCCTTCCTTCCTTCCTTCCTTTGTTTCGTTCTTTCCTCCTTCCATCCTTCCTTTCTTCCCTTTCTTTTTCTTTCCTTCCATCCTTCTTTCATTTTCTTTCCTTTTTCCTCCTTCCTTCCTTCTTCCTTTCTTCCATCCTTCCTTTTTTTTTTCCTTTTTGGGTCACACCCGGCGATGCTCAGGGGTTACTCCTGGCTCATGCACTCAGGAATTACTCCCTGTGGTGCTCGAAGGACAATATGGGATGCTGGGAATTGAACCCAGATCGGCTGCATGCAAGGCAAATGCCCTACCTGCTGTGCTATTGCTCCAGCCCCCATTCTTCCTTCTTTTTCTCGTTCCTTCCTTCCTTCCTTCCTTCCTCCCTCCCTCCCTCCCTCCTTCCCTCCCTCCCTCCCTCCCTCCTTCCCTCCCTCCCTCCCTCCCTCCTTCCTTCCTTCCTTTCCTTTCCTTTCTTCTTCCTTCCTTCCATCCTT